TTAGGCAAACTTAAAACGGTCTCCAGCAACAGCTCCTAGTTCAACCTCTTGGGCTATTCCATCAAGTAAACAGAAACACAGATGACGAGAAAGGGGAATCCTCTGGCACCAAAACGGAAGCCAAAGCAAACTTCAAGTACTAAGATTCTGTTATGAAATATTATCTCTTAGTAGAATATCATTTTAACAAAACATGATTTTTCAAAGGTATATGGAGTTCACTAAGTACCACCAAAGGTACTCTAGAACACCCACCACAGAACATGCAACTGTACCTAAACAAACAAAATCCTATTTCACCCTAATGTAGAACCTAGACTACTACTTCAGAGAAACAAGTGGAAGGGCACAGTCAGAAACATGTTTCTTAGCTTACAAAACATAACCTTAACACGAGTATCAACATATCTATGTCAAACACAAGAAAGTCTTAAAATTCACTAAGAAAGATCTTAGTACAAGCATGGGGCATTCATTAGGATTTTAGGGATGATTAAGCACCAGTATATTTATTTACCAATGCATTCTGACAGCCAGACAAGTGGCTTGGGGGGGGGGGGCAGAGGAAAGAGCACCTTGTTATCATGTCTGTGTGCCATTTATGTCTAGCAGAAGAGATCAAAACACCTCTTTGGAGCCAGGAGGTAATGGCTCATGTCTTTAATCCCAGCACTTGGGAGGCAGAGGTAAGCAGATCTCTGTGAGTTCAAGTTCAGCCTGGTCTACAAGAGCTAATTCAAGGACAGGCTCCAAAGCTACATAGGGAAATACTGTTTTGAGAAACAAAAACAAAACAAAAACCAAACAAACATAAACCAAAAGCACCTCTTTGTCCCAAATGACCCAGTAATCAGTAATCCAAATAGTCAGCAAGGGATACCTACCAGGCTATGCTGACACCCAAGGAGGTGGATGGGGCAAACCCAAAATGCCAGATACAGCAGCATGGGTCGGGACCAGGTACATATGTGCAAAGATCAGAGAGAGACCTCGACTGTGGGAGATGCCCTGGTGGCACAAGGAGGACGGGTGAAATAGACACCAGACAAGCAGCAGAGGCGGGGAAGGCCTGAGCTGGAATCAGCTACTAGGGATGAACCAGGCTCTTCTGACCCCTTTTAAGCTAAAGGCAGCTTTGTTTTGAGGCTAGGTGGTCCCCTAACATCTCTGACTAAGGCAGTGAGGTTACACTGGTGGATGGAAGGCAGACTGTCAATACTTTAAACTGCAAACTACAGTGAGTCCAGATCCAGACTTGACAATGATTAACTTAGTGAGTGGCCTTTGCAATGGCCAGAACCTCTAAATCTGAAACTCTAGGAAGGGACCTGCAGGGCAAGGGTCCTCCTGTCCTACCCGCCAATGTGCAGGTGCTGAAGGGCAGATGGGGGCTCTACCACCAAGCGCTCTGCACAGGCTTTCCCCAGTGGCCCTCCTACTGGGAGTCTGAGTCCCTCTAGGGCAGGAAAAGTAGGAGAGAAGGAAGCCGGCAGTGCCTCTCCTGAAAGGGCACTGTGGAGATGGCTCTTCCCTGTCCCTTCTTCCTATGCCTTCCTAATTCACAGCTAACACGGGACATCACTGGAAACCACTCAGCCGGTTCATGGTGCTGCACCTCACTCATTCCAGAAGTTCCTGGCTCCCTTCTCACCTCTGCCTGCCTCCTTTGAGACCCCTACAGCACTGAGGCCACTGTCATTCATTCTATACCTTGTACGGAGCTAGAGTTCCCAGGTGCCTATGTTTCCGAATAGGGTGATACCTCTCTGACCTACTTCCAAACTACTTTACCACACTCATGTGCCCGCCCCAGCCTGTGTCGCTGGGGCCTTTTGTGAGTCTATCCGCTGCTGGGAGCAGCTGGACTAGCCATTTCCTTTCCTCACTTCCTAGGGTCAGACCTCCATTCCCGATGGTCATCCTACCAAAGTGACTTTATATGCACATGTATGTATCTACTTGTTCTCTATATAAACAGTGAGCAACCAGCAGTATGCTAGGCTCTGGAACACTGCACCTTGGAGACAAGACCTTGAAAGCAGGCAGCACGTGCAGGGGGAACCTGACTGGCAAATGAGCAATTATACAGTGGAATAGTACAGTTAGTCAGGAGTGTACAGAGAGATTCAGGGGCCGAGAAAAGATGTGGGTAGGGGAGCCCAGCTTTCACGTTTGCCCTCAACTATAATTTATGTGTTCACATTTGAGTCTCACACCTCCATTTAAGCAGTGGAGTTCCATGTTAAATAAGCCCTGACCGGATGTACAGAACTCCCCCTTCCAAGTACACAGGCAGAACCTAAACATGGCAAGTAAAACACATTGTTTGAACTTTGAATTTCTTTTGTGAGCTAATCACTATATTTGTCAGAGTTCTCTAACGGAACAGAACTGATAGAGTGGCGAGGGATATATGTGTATATTAAAGGGAAAACACAAGCCTGACAAAACATCATTAGGAGAGGTTCAAATCGCCTTCTACTGCACTCCAGTCCCTACTGAACGCTCGCTCATTCACTCACTAGATGATCTCAAGATTAAGCCTCACGGAACACTACTGCTGAGCTTTTAAACAGCTCCCAGTGCACAGAAGTAAGGACTTTCCAAGCTGGAGATGCCTTCTTGCTCACGTCAGGTCACAGTCATCACTCAGTGGGGCAGGAGGTGCAGGTTAGGAAGTCAGTGACAGACCTACTTTGTCTTGGGCTGAAACTACAGGTCTCACCAGCAAACAACAGGAAGTAATTTCCCTGAAGCGGGTACAGCTAGCCTGAAGCGTTCCACTCAAATCAGCCCATTCAATGAATGTGGAACTACAATCTGGGTACTGGCCTGGCACCTCTGAAATTGCTGTATTTTCTTAACCAGAACTCTTAGAAGTGCACACACTTTCAGCCGTCTCCTGTCCACTCACTCCCCTCTTGAAACCCATGTTCATTTTTGTATTGATCATTATTTGGCAGACCATGAAGTGTAAAGTGCACTGATCACTACTCTCCTGTATTTAACTCGGCAATAAGGAAGCTGGGCTAGAAGAAAGCAGGTTCTGTCTAACATAAACAGGTTCTGTCTAACATAAACTGTCTATAATTGCCTGGTATCTTAGCAAGTGGCATTTAATTCTCGTGAAATTCAAATAAAAGGGCAAATAAAAGAAAGTACAGGGCTGGAGACATGGCTCAGTGGTTAACTGCACTGGCTGCTCTTCTAGAGGTCACGGCTTTGGTTCCCAGCACCCACATGGCTCACAGATATAGGCAACTTCGATTCGAGGAAACCCTGTACCCTTTTCTGGCCTCTGGCATCAATCACAAATATGGTACTCAGTCATACACACTGGGAAATCACCCAACACACGAAATTTAAACACTAACCTAAAAAATTAAAGCAAAGGTGCAGATAAAGCCATCTGGTTTCTTTTGCTCTATATACTTTCAGAAACTTGCTAAGAACGTGGTATCTGTTATCTGACCCTTGATAAAGTTAACAAGTTGTCCAAATATGTTCTAATATCAAAGAAGGGAAATATCTGGGACAAGTATCCTTGTCAAACATAGGAATAACAAGTGTAGTGGTTAGGAAGAAACTGGGCCCCTTAGGGAGTGGCACTATTAGGAGATGTGACTTTGTTGAGTAGGTGTGGCTTTGTTGGATGAATTGTGTCACTGCAGGGCAAGCTTTTATGTCTTCTTTGCTCAAGCCGAGATGCGAGAGACACAGCTGCTTCTGCTCTCAGTTCCTCCTGCAGCACCATGTCTGCCTGCATGCCACCATGATGGTAATGGACTAAACCTCTCAACTATCAGCTAGCCCCAATTAAATATTTTCTTTTATAAGAATTGTTGTCACGGTGTCTCTTCACGCAATAGAAACCCCAACAAAGGCAACAAATATTATACATAACAGGTTCTTTTTAAAGCTGGTTTCTTTAGCACATCCAATCCATACCTGCTGTCACCTTCTTTGCTGTTACTAAGGCTGCACTGACCCCACCCCTCCACACCTTGGCCTTTCTCTTCACATCTGTAACCCATAGGGAGCAGAACATCAGAGGGGCAACCACCAAGCTGCTCTTCAAAAACCAAGGGGGAATGCTACCACCAATGGGCCAAAGGATGCATGGCACAGAAGAGTATCCAGACACTAGAGCAATTCAATCAACCCTCCCATGCCACTAACTCCTTTGCCAGAGAATGTGCTCCACCCCTTAAGAGCAAGTCCCAAGTTCAACCACACTCAAGCACCGTAGCTCCAGAAATAAGACCAGTTAAAAGAGTGGAGATGGAGGAAAAGAAATTTCCCTTGACCTTGACAGCAGCAGCGGTGGCAGCAGAGGCATTCTCCTTTCCTTTGGCCTCTGACCACAGGCTTGAGAGGTGCAGGAATCATGAGGCCCAGGGGTCACTGGGAGCGGCTTTATGGGCCTTTAGCATGGGCCAGCTGCTGCCATTCCTTTCCCCTCCCACTTGTGATCCATCACGGTGTCTTGTATTGTTGCCATCTCCTCATTCACTCTCCACTTGTTCTCATCAATAATCTTGATTCTCCCATCAGTTCCGTTCCACCCCCCCAACACACACACACACACACACACACACACACACACACACTTCAGCAACCATGTGGCTAGACCAGGCTGCACCTTGAAATACCCAGAAAATTGTACACAGCATGCTCTTGGCTCCTTAGGCCATAGCCACGCTGTTAGGCTGTGTCTACCCCAAAAAGGGGAAACCTTCTCCTGCTTTGCATGAGAAGTGCCACACTTGGAGACCCAGGCCAGCCTCAGATAGCAACAGCAGAAAAGAAAGTGCTACCACTTTACCCACCCTTGTACCCCAAGAATAGAATCTGTCCACAATTTCTTAATTTGTGTAGATAGGGTTTACTTCTGCTTCCTACTCTCCCATGGTATCTGAGTGAACTAAAACAACAGCTCCTCCCACAAAACAAAAAGCTTTTGATAGTAACATCTGTCACTTAAGATACGATATAATTACACTGGTAGTTCCTTCATGGACACAGAGCCTCTTCTGATCTACATCCAGCAAAACAACTTCTGGAATCTGGAAAAAAAAAAAAAAAAATGGATCACAGCCACAAACTAAGCCACTGAACGAAGTCAGCCATCTGCTGACCAAGGAAAAGGACAGTAGGGACTTAGTCAACTTAAAATAAAGGAACCAGAGTGCCTGTGGAGCGCCTGGCATCGTGCACAAAAGAGATACACCTCTATTCAAAGTTACTGAAGCACCCCTCCCCCCGCTCTGCTCCCCTCCCCTGCAAAAGTGTGAGGTGAGAAGCTAATCTTACTGGTTTCCTATGATTGTCCCATGTCACTGGGATATATGTGGTAAGCTTGCCATAATTGTGTTAGCTACAAGGTATGAAGGTTAACTAACTGCTTATTAAAGAAACTGAAAATTGTCCACATTTTTAAAAAGCCATCAAGTATTTGTGAAAGTCGTCTCCATCGAGTCACTTATCCACCAGGGGTTTCAGGAGGCTAAAGTTTTCTTTTCTTCTCCTTAACTTTTTTATTGATTCTCTGGGAATTTCACATCATGGACCTCAATCCTGCTCATTCCTCAGTGCTCCCATGTTCACCTTCTACCCTTGTAGCTTCTACCATTCCACCCCAGCAAAAAAAAAAAAAAAACAAAAAAACAAAAAAAAACTCGGCTCCTCCGACTTCCCTGCCTCTCTATCACATGTTCGTTTGTTGTAGTGACATCGGGAGCTGCAGTGTGTTACACAATAATACACCCGTTTGCCCAAACAGCTTCACTTGTAAATGTTCATCGCAGTGAGTCCTTGGTCTGGGTTCTAGGCCGTTGGCTTCTGCTATACGATCAATACTGGACCCCTACAGGAACTCCTCTTGGGTGTCCTGCTGTCGCCCAGACTCCTGGAGATCCTGTGGTTATGGTTCCACAGGATTATCATCCCTTCATGTGCTCCACTAGGTCACAGATGGGGTAGATGTTGTGGCGGGCCAGCTCAAAGCCCTGTATGTGGGCCTGGGTGGTAGCTGGTTGGTAAGCCCAGGCCTCTACGGAGACACCTGCCCTACCCCACGAGTGGCAGGGCCAGTTTTCCCACTGCTGGAGCTGGTGGGCTGTATGTAGGGCTAGCTCTTCCAGTGCAGTCCAGACCACAGGCATTCACATGGCCTTTGGTGCTAACCACAGACATCAATGCAGACCACGGCTGCAGTAGGACCCGCAGAGGCAGACAAGGCCCAGACATCACCACTGCCTCAGGTGGCTGCACAGACCTCTCACGTCAGCCTGTTCCTCATCACCATCGAATCTCCAGTTCCTCCTCTCTCCACAGCGCCTGAACTGCTCTACTTCTCTTCTCTCCCATCCCTCCACCACGTACCTGCTCACTGTTGTGGCACCCAGTGGTGGGCCAGGCCTGTGGCCTCTGGCTATCTGTCTTTGTCTGTCTTCCCTGCCTTAAGTCTTCCACCAGTAACATTTCCCTTTGACCACCAATGAGGAGTGGGGGGGGGGGGTAGGGGTGGGGGGAGGACACACTCATTAAAACAGTGTCTGTGGGCATCTGAGGGACTCCGTTTTAGACTAGCCCCTAGAGCTCTGAAAGAACCCATGATCTTGGCCATCAGACAGAGGTATCAGGACAAGATAGCCATTTCCAGCATGGGCCTGACAAACACAAGTCTCTGCAACTGGCTTCATGAAATGAAACGACTGCTCACAGTGCCTAGGGGTGTTCTGGAGCAGGATGTTTGCACCTCCTCTCTGGTCTTTTTGCTTCATGAGGTGAAAAGCAAAGCCTTTGGGACTCAGCCACCAGCACTGCCAGAGCAGGGTACCCAAGTGAGGGCTTGGACCCGCTTTTCCATGTCCTCACACCACCTCTCCTGGGAGTTCAAGCCAACCTGTCTTCACCTGTGAGTCCACCCACCCTTACTCCGCTCTCTGCAGTATCTCCAGGGTTAGATTGCTCTTAGCAAGCAGGGGTGGAGATTAGGATTTGGTATCTGTCCCTGTCATAGCATCTCACTGGGCCTAGCTATCTGGCTGGTTTGTGAATTAGTGAAGTGTGACTCATGGCCATAGCTGTCGGGGCAGAACCGTAAATCTAATCCACATGGAAGCTGAACTATGCTGCCATTGCGCCTCATCTTGGTCATGGCTTTCTGCATACTGTTAGAACCCAGCTTTCCAAACTGGTGCTACACTGGCTTCTTAGATCCCAGGCAGATTTCTCCCTCTTGTTTTCCCTTTGTGTTCTCATATCCTTACAGATTCTAATACAAAACAATAAACACAATGATTGTTTCATTTCACAATTTGGGCAAACTCAGCATGCCACCGTACGATAGATAACTTTATACCGTGTTATCCTTTTGCTCAAACTGTTATAAAAAAAATACCAAAACAAAAGAAGGTTACTGCATGGTTTCTGGGTGTTTTTCCAGGATGAAAACTTGGAGTTCGTTTTTCAGAAGAAAAATACAGACTCATGCTGTGTCTTACAACTGTGTTACTTCAAAACCGTCATTTTCTTTTCAGTTATCCCCCCTCCAAACACTAGCTTCCATCCAGACTGTCATCTGTGTGTCAAAGAGTAAAACACACCCCTGCTGATGTACCACTGCACAAATGAAATTAATCTGATTTTAAAACTGCAGAGTTTTAAACCATTCTTCCCATGGTGCAGCCCACTGCAGTCACACTGGCGCTGGTGACTGAGTTGACAGTCATCAGCAGCTGGGACACGTCTGCTGTGTGTCTCTTGTTCCGAGCCTTATGAAGAGAGTGGAAGTAAGGCGTGGGAGGACTGCGTGCATCCCATAGATAAGGCACACGTCGGTGAGATGGCAAAATCCTCCGTGTCTGCCGTTAACTACCGTTTACCTGTGCTGCCTGGGATATGATTCCCATGACAAGCATTAATAAAGCAATAAAAAGTGCTAGCAAACACTTAAATTATCTGTCCAGCTGCGAGGGATTTTCAAACCCGAGAGTCTTTACAGAACCTGTATCTATTAAAGAAACAACAGGCAACGGTGAAGGTGCCAGCTACCTCAGGCCTTTGTACGAAGTGGCAAGTTCTAATCATACAAAGGAGAAAAAACAACAAACTTCAGCTGAATAAAACCAATGTGTGTCAGGCTACTTCCTAATTACCAACCTACATAGAATGTTCTTCTAAATTGACAAGAGAAATGGAACACAATCACAGCCAAGCCTCATCCACTAATAACAAGGAAAGTCCCAGGAGGGCCACAGAGGTCCTGTGGGGGAGTCTGATAAGTCTCATAGCCTGAGCCTGAGGCTCGCTTCCTTAGGATGCCTACTGAGAGGGTCTCTTTCAGACTGATGGAGATCTTTCTCAGAGGCACTTGGGAGAGAGGATGCCCAGAAGTAAAAGAAGTCACCTTATCTTATCACAAGCAGACAGAAGGATGAAAAGGGGTGGACCCAAGCCAGGAAGGACAACTGGCATCATTCACGTTTGAAAACATTGTGTGACTTTAGTCAGGTTGACATTAATCTAGAAGAACCCTGAAAACTAAAGAGACAAGAGTACTTAAAATGCTTTTGGATGAATGTTTTCACTTCCTAGAATTTCAATTACTACTAGAAAAGGAGATGGAAGAATGAACTAGTCATTGACCCAGGTGTGTGCAAGAAAGCATAACAACTGGGAAGCTTACACAGCTGAAGGGGAAGCCACTTATGGATGCCAAAAGTAGGCAACAAGAACTTATCTACAATGTGATATGTTTCTCTTTGATGAATAAAGCTGTTTTGCCAATAGACAGGAAGGATGTAGCCAGCCAGGTAGTACAGGTGGGACTTCGAGACTAGGGGAATTCTGGGGAAGAGGAATGCAGAGAGGAGTTTAGGGAACGCCATGCAGCTGCCAAAGGAGCAAGAGGCCTGGTTATCACCGGGAAGCTTAGACCACATGAAAATACACAGATTAATAGAAAAGGGTTAATAATTGAGAGCTAGCCAATAAGAAGCCTGAGCCATAGGCCAAATAGTTTGTAGTTAATATAAGCTCTGTGTGTTTATTTGGGACTAAGCAGCTGTGGGACTGGGCAGGACAGAAACTTCCGTTTACAAGTTAGTCTTGAATGTATTAGAACTAGCCAAGTGCAAGAGGAAGCAATCATCCTCTTTCTTCAATCTTCACAACCACTTTTAATGTGCTCCAGGACCATGCAAGTGTAAATACAAAGGCAAAAGCAAACAACCTGCGGCACTTACTATAAACAGGAGAAACTCTGCTTAATGGTTAGAGAATGACACCTTCGTCCCCCCAACACACACACAAAGAAATCTGTAAATACAAAAGCTATCAGTTAACTGTTAGACAAACAAACAAAAGCGTATACTCTGAAGAAAAATGTCCAAGAAAATACTGGAGCATACACAGATGGGGAGGCAGATGTCTTGCAAGATGAAAACCCATGAGAACACAAGAAAACAACTGCCTCTATCTAACTGGTGTCTTTCCCATGTGAGATGCATGTTCACCTTCAGTGTAGAGCAGAATGCGGTCTCAAATATTGCCAAATAAACCCAGAACACAGAACATACCAAAGGCTGCCCGATGCATTCAGTGAGTGGAACTGGCTACCATTCAGAAGGCAGTAGAGGGTGGAAAGATCCCAGACAGAGATGGATACCCCTCTGTTAGAACCCTTTACTGCTTCGGCACAATTCCCTACTTATCTGTGAGGTTAACTGTCTCCACAACACAGCGATGGGCAATGGGACACTTCCACCTTCTCCTCTGTTCCAGCATGCCCAATTCTCATCCAAGAAAGAAAGCTGTGACAGGTCTATCTTTTGTGACACAGACACGGATGGAGCTGAAGACACCCGGAGTCTGTTCCTCACAGGCTTCAGTAGGTTCTAACTCACAGGACTGCCCCCACTCTCACAGGCCATGTGTGCTAAGCATCAGCACAGCAAAAGAAATGTAAAAACTCACTCATTGGGAACAATGACCGGCACGGAAACATTCTCCTATGGCATTTAACATGCCATCTCACCAATGTGACTACTTGGGGCGGGGG